CTGTAGGGCCCTCTGAAGAGGGAACTCGGAGAGAGGGTGTATCGCAACATCGTCGGCGCGTCTTGGGTTTACAATAGTTCTCCCTCCTCCTCCTCCTCCCCCTCCTCCTAGGATGCCCTTTTCTGGTGCACCCCCGGCTCTCTGGGCAGCCGATCCCCGACGGGCACGCGCTGCCAAAGGCCGCGCTGACTGGCAGCAGATGGCGGCAGCCGTGCGAACCCCGATGCACGCTTGCCCCAAGGAGAGGGGAACACAGGTATTCTATCGGGTCACCGCGAGAAGTCGTTGAAACCCCTCCCCAATAGGGGGGAACCAATTTGCTCGCGGCCTTAGTGAAGAACTGGGGTCCCACCAATACGGGATAACTAACAATTCTGTTCCGCGGCACGCACCGCGCAACAACGACAACGACAGCTACGACAATGATTGCGACTACGACTACGACGACTACTAATACTAATGCCTCAGGAGCGCTCACAGAGGAGGAGAAGGAGCAGGAGGAGGAGAAGGACGAGGGGGAGAGGGGTGAGGGGGAGGAAAAGATTCTAGAACCAGTCCTGTTCACCGCCGAGCAGAAAGTGGGGGATCAAAACCGAAGACCTCCTGAGTTTCATTTCGGAGGCGACGATAGGAATAGCCAAGGGGCCGCGGGTCCCGGGGGAGAGCCCCGAGAGCCCGACAACGGCGAAACGACCCAGGACCCGCCTCCCTCCTCCTCATCATCCTCCCTCCCTCCCCCCCCTCCTCCCCCCTCCTCCCTCCCCCTCCTCCTCCTCCTCCTCCTCCTCCTCCTCGTCCTCCTCCTCCTCCTCCTCCTCCTCCTCCTCCTCCTCCTCCTCCTCCTCCTCCTCCTCCTCCCCCTCCGCTCCGTGGCGAGGAGCGCGCAACGGAACCCATCCCACTCGGACCCCCCGCTCTGCGCCGAGGGGCAGAGGCGGCGCCCCGCGCGCCCCCAAAAAAACAGCCGCTGCGCCGGCAGCGCGCGCCCATGGTGCGGCGCCCGCCCCCGCGGGCTCCGCCGTGGGCCGCGCAGGCCTCCCCCGCGCGCGGCAGCCCAGAGACCACGAGGGGGGGGCCTCCAGGGCAAGCGAGGCTGGCAGGACGGTGGCAGCATCCCCCCCACCCCCGCCCCGACGGGGGCAAGGAGGAGGAGGAGGAGGAGGCGGAGGAGGAGGAGGAGGAGGAGGAGGAGGGCAAGGAGGAGAAGGAGGAGGAGGAGGAGGAGGAAGAGAAGGAGGAGGGGGGATTCTGACAGGAGTGGAGTCTAGGGAACGGGAAGGGGAAATTGAGGATGGAGGAAGAGGAGGAGGAAGAGGAGGGAGAAGAGGAGGAGGATAAGAAAGAAACGACATAAGCGTGGGAGAGGATAAAGGGATATAGGAACAAAGAAAATAGAGAAGGATGATGAGAATCCAGAAGATCAGGAGTAGTGCAGAAGGCAATGGGACGTAGGATGCCGGGGGCAGGATGAGGCAGGATGTATGTCCCCATGGCTTCGCTTGCCCTGCTAATCGCACTAGCCAGCCCTATGTTGGTCCCTGGCCCTTCCGCCGCAGCAGGGCGCGTCGCATGCACGCCGCGTTCCCGCCGCATCTTTCTCCTCCCCCCCCGCAAACACACCCAGACAAACAAACGCGCACACGCGCACACACACACACACGCACGCACGCACGCACACGCACGCACGCACACGCACGCACGCACGCACGTTCGCACGCACGCACGCACGCACGCACGCACGCACGCACGCATGCACGCACGCACGCACACGCACACGCACACGCACACACACACACACACACACACACACACGCACACGCACACGCTCACGCTCACGCACACGCACACACACACACACACAAACAGTTTCTGAAGTCGGCGGCGAGGCACAGTGACTGCGCCGGCGAGTGGGGCGGCAAACGTCGGGCATACAATTGCGAATGAAGCCGCAATGCGCGTGAGGACGAGGGGGAAGCCCCGGCGCGGGCGGGAGGGAAGCGGAAGCCGGGCCCGCTCAGAGCGGCGGCGGGGGGGCACTGCAGCGCGGCGGGGCGGCAGCCGCGGGCGGGCAGCAGCCCAGGGCGGCCGCGCGAGGCGGGGGGGGGGAGGCCCAGACGACGCTGGGCTTGGGCAGCGCAGCGAAGCTGCCGAGCGCCGAGAGCGGCCGACTTTCCAGGCGACACAGCAGCCAGAAAGGACCCCCTCAGGAGAGGGGCCGGGGGGGAGCTGGGGAGAGCCCAGCAGGCGAAACGACAGGAAGCGCCGAGATCCAGGGACCTGCGAGGCGCGGGAAGGCGGGCGGCCCCGGCACCCGCATTTCAAAACCGCGGGGGGGCAAAGCAGCGAGCGAGCAAACCCACAAACCGCGCGAGGACCAAGGAAAGGGAAAGAGGGAAGGCCGGCCCGAGGGGCGGCCAAGGCCAGCCAGCACCCAGAACTGGAGAGCGCAGGGCAGGCAGGGTGGGGGCCGCGGGCCACCCGAGGGGGCCCGGGCACGCGCGGGGGGCAGCGCCAGCGGGCGCAGAGAGAGGCGAAGACAAAGCACCGAACAGGCGCAACAGCAGAGGGCGCGGAGCGGGTCGACCCCGACGCGGGAGGCCGCCGGGCGAGGCGGGGGGCGGAGGCAGCGGCGAGAGCGCAGGGAAAGGCCAGCGGCGACCGCTGCCAGGCGCGCGGTGGCGGGCCAGGCGAGAGTCCGGCGAAACCCAGTCGCCCAGGCCGGGCGGGGGTTGCGCCGGGCTGGTGCGCGGGCGCATAAAGGGGAAGCAAGCGAATTTCCGGCGGGGCGACCGGCGCCCGCATGGGAGGCGGCATGCGCATGCGGGGCATTCAGAACTGAATCACGAATTGCGGTTGGCGGCTGCCAGTTGGGCACCAGGCGGGCCACTGCCAGTGCCGATTGTAAGGCCCAGACCATCGCTGCCGCGAGGGGTCGCTGCTGGGCCAGGAGGAGTCAGCCGGCCGCTTGCCTTTGCCCTACAGGGGGGGGCCTCCCCTTCGCCTTCGGCGCGCTGGGTGCTGAGCCTTCTCTCCTGCATCTCATGCTCCCATGAAGCGCCCCAATCGACGTGGATGCGCTTGTTGTGGCATAGGGTGCGGACGTCGAAATTGGATTGGATGAGGTCGGTCACGAACTCAACCCCTTATGCCCCAAGCTGCGGTCGCACATTGCGTTCCAACCAATGGTCAACATGGGGCAACGCTCCTGCTTGAGGCGGTTGACCACCTGCTGCCAGTTCTCCTGCCGTTGAGCAGTACAATTACAGCATGAGCGCCAAGGAATGCTCTTGCGCGGCCTGTCATCGGGGCCCCGATGGGGGGCTTAGTCGCGCGGAAGAACTGAAGCGCGGCGGGGG